ATAGCAACATAAAGGTGGTCCTCTCTTCCACCACCCTTCCGAGAAAGTCATGCCAATTCTCACTCAGCACATCAAACTTTACGAAATGAATTTGAGGGACTGGAAGGCGCCTTCAGTTCTGCCCAAGGTGTGCCTTTTTTGAAACCAGATATATTTGCTGGTATACAGTGTGTTTACAAATTGCATGACAAACAAACCGCTCCTGTCTTCTCTTCATGTCTCCGCAGGCTATCCTCAAGGAAGAAAAGAAATCAATATGAAACCTTGGATGCAATTTTGAATCACGAGTTTGCCCAACAGTTCAACTTCGGCCTGGGCCAATGTGTGTTTGATTCAGATCTCATGAATGTAAAAACATCATGGCTTCATCAACAGTCAAAGTAGCCTTGCCGCAGCCCACGGTGTCTGCCATATGTCATCTATGTAGCCTTGCCTCTTAGCTCCCAGTTGACTTCGGTTTTAGCTCTTTTTCACATCACCTGGCTGCTGGATTCGGAGCTGGGAAGGACACGATAACTTGTAGCTTCTTGTTCCTAGTAGCGTTCTTGCTCCTAGTAGTACGGCCAGGAGCCCGTAGTAGCGTCCTTGCTCCTAGTAGCGATGCCAGGAGCCCCTAGTAGCTTCTTGCTCCTATGGCTTGGTCTCCATATCTTTCAAAAGCCGCTCTTTACGATCTGTCACCCTGAAGGTATTTCTCACCAACACTAATCTCACCAAAAAAACACCCCCTCACTTGGCGCACTGAGCAGTTCATCTGCTTTTCTTTTCTTCGACTCCTTCGCCTCCTCTTCCTGGCACCAAACACAGCCAGACCCTCATTGCTTCACACACTCAATGTGTGACCGCGAACCATAAAGGGGTCAAGGCCAACACCCAAGGTACCAAAAGAACAAGATGGGAAAGGTCTGAAGACCAAAGGAAAAACATCCTACAACAATTTTTGCCGGGAATGGTGCATAACTTTCCCAGCCGGCCTTGAGGAAAGCTAGGCCAGCCATGGCCCCCCGACACCGCTGACTCTGTGGGAAGTTGCTCTTCCTCGCAACAAACAGAGCTTACATGACATGTCACATGTCCGATACACAAACCGTGGATGGTTTTAGTAACAAGGGGTGGCAAGTCGAGAGCAATTACTGCCGTTGTTGTAAACCAACTCAATCCAGTTCATCTGGCCATAGCTTTCAATAACACCCCAGAATGCAACGGCATTGCTGCAAAATGCATTGAATGTCCTCTGCATCTTTTGCATCATCCTCCGGCATCTGGCCACCGTGGGCAATCTTTTTTGCCCATCTTGCGGCCGGCGTGACGGTGTGGTCTGGGATGGAAGCATCCTTGGGATAAAGCCTGTAAAACAGGCTCGTCATCTGCCTTCAGGGCTCACGTGATCCGCTCGCGTGATCTGCTCGCCCCATCCAGGACAACCGCTTGCTAACGGTTCCGAACAAGCGTCACAAAATTAAAGAACCAAATAGCCGCATAGTTTCACAAGTCAAGCTGTGTGTGTAGCAAAGCGGAACAGAATGTTGACAAACAAGGACCGATGGAAAAAGGAAAACGATGTGTCTCTGAATCCAAGTGTGAGAGGTGCGATGATCAAAGGTGTGAAGATGTAATGCGTGAAAACATGATGACGATGTCATGTATGCGTGGGCGCGATGTCGATGTTGTGACACATTTTACGAGCGCTATAACGTCCACATCAAGACTGCTCACTGTCCTCACACATGCATGTTTCCCGTTCCTGCACACGCAAAGCGCTTTCCACATGTTCCACCGACCTTACCAAACCAAACCTGGCACAGCGGCATGACAAACATAGTTTTGGCCGGCCTACGCGCCACGTGCTAGATGCAACAGTGACGCCACCCATCATTCCGCTCACCAGCAACACACCACGTTTACACACGCATGTGCGTTGTTCCTCAACGGCATGACCAGTACCAGCAGCGGACTGCAGGAAGCGCAAATCCCTTACAGAGCAGCTGAAAGCAGTGGAGACAGCAGAGGACGGAAGTTTCGAGTGAATGCTGAGGCTCAAAAGCGGCACTGATTGAGTTGTGTGAGTTGAGCTGTGTCAGTTTATTGAGTGAAGGAGGAGGAGGAGGAGGAGGGCATAAGGACGCAGAGAAGCACAGGTAAAACAAAAACGCCACAGTAGCATGTGGGGAAAAGGGCAAGAAGCACATATTTAAGTAGGACTGGGAATAATAACTTCATGACTGCGCTGTGTGCATGTGATTCCCTGGCACCTCCAGCCAGCTGCACAATTGCTAAAGGGCTTGGAAATGGCTGCAACTCAGCATGGATATACACATCAACAATCACTGGCATGCACGAAAAAGACACGAGAGCTGCCGAATCTTTCCCAACATGTTCTAGGTGTCACTCTCTCATCGAACTTTCAAGGTCACAACCAAAAAAGGTTTAACATTCTCCAGATCTTGGCTTTATCAATTCTATATGAAGAACATACAAGCTAAATCCAAACAGCAAACTCTGCTCCCACCACCGCCACCACCACCACCACCAAAACCATTACAAATCATTACCGCTCTGCCCCCCTACTATCTGGGGGGGAGAGAGGTAGTAGAACTGCTTTGTGGTGCAACCCTGCAAATCCGCCACGTCCACGAGCAAGCCACGTCCACCACGCCTTTTCGACCGCTTTCTTCGCTGCAAGGCTCGGAGGCTGGGACCCACTCTCGGTCTCGAGGTGCCTGTCTGGTGCCTGTCTTACCTGAACTCAGCACTATCGTCCTCCTTCAGGATGGGCGCTGCCTGGGTCGAAACCAGCCCCTACGCTCACCATCCCCCACCTCAAAGCTAACCTCACAATTTGGAGCAAAGCTCCATTCTTTCAATTCTTTGTGAGTTCTAGTGACTAGTGATGAAAAAAAGATACGTGCCTCGCCTGGGTCTTTTTCTCTGAGGAAGCACTAACTGGAGATTCCTCAGCTGCCTCGGCTGCCTCACCAGCTCATTTGATGGATGCAAATGCAATCTGAGGACGTCATTGTCTTTCTGTAGAGAGGAACAAGGGAGCTGGAAACATTGAACCAGAGTTGTGACATTATTCCATCGTGCGACTGCCCAATCCACTAAGCTTCTCTCGACGCACCTCCATTCGTTTCAGCCTCTTTTTCTTCTGAGGCACCTCACAAGCGAGGGCAGAAAAGGTAGTCAACTCTGCACGGAACAAATTCACCTGCTGCATGACCTTCAAATCCTAAGAATCTTCCAGACGTATAGTTCATTCATGTCTGAGTCCCCGAAGTTCCTGCCTCCGCAGTCTTTGGCGGATCTTGTGACAATGGCGAAGAAGAGGCCTACGCACTGGGACAAACACAGGCACGCATAAACACATGTTTTTCAAAGCAATGTGGAAAAACATGTGAAGAGCATTCTCTGTCTGAAACCATCTCAACCCATGAAGTATTTTTCATTGTTTTCCATACCAAGTCTTGAAGAACCTTTTTTTTGCCATTTATTTTGTTGGGTCCCACCTCCGTTCGTCGGGGCTTGCCAGAAGACCCCTGACAATGAGGGGATGATGTCATGGCATGAGACTTGCAAACGTCGCATCGAATGAGATGTGATTTCCCACCAGTAATTTTTTTTCATGTCCTGTATCCTTTCTTGAAAATGCATTGACAATGACAATGCATCATCTTGACAGGCCCTTGACCACGTTTACAGTTAGGAAAAGATCGGAAAGAGTGGGACATGTCACGCACATAAACGAAGGCTGAGATTGCGAATTCTCAAGTCCACGTCACACTCGTCTGTCTCAAGGATCTCTGGATATCTGGAACAGGCAAACACAGACATCTACAATTGATTTTCACAAAAACACAAACTCCTTTGGCTTGGAGAGCAAAACCCTTTGTGCGGCCACAAAGGCGCAGCAGGCGCCGCCCGACAAGTGCCTTCTTTCTGTCGACTTTTGGCTTCTCGAGTCCTGGCGAAGGCGACAGCAAAGGCGAGGCCATCAGCTGGTTCATGTCGAAGTCCTGGCGCTTCCAGAACGAAGACACAAGCGAGAATCCTTCTCTTGAACTTCTTCCGGGGCTGGTATAGTGGTGGTGCGATTTACGTAGTCTCAGCACATAGTTTGTACTTGTCACACGCACCTAGTTTCCATTGTTTGCGGAGCTTGTTCACCAGCATGCCTCTGAGTCCGTGTGATGCTGCGACTGCGAGCTGGCAGGGCTCGCAGCACCTCCACTGAGCTGAAGTTTTGCTGTGTTCAAGGTCTGAGAAAAGGCTCAAACAACAAGCCTTCCAAACACACACAAAAAATATGACCTTTTGGAGCGCGCAACAAAATGTGGAATATTTGTCCAAAATGGCAAGTCTTTGCGCCAAGGTGATGTTCTCAATGACAAGTGCTGAGAAAGCAATAACACTTTTTCTCCGGCTTCTGACTCGAAATCCAAAATTTTAAGTCGCAAGACTCTAGTCTCTAGCCAACGGGTTCAATCAATGTTACAGCAAACAACGGTGGGTTGCCTGCAGCCCATTGCAAGGCCGGTTGCAACAGCGAAGGCCACCCCAACAATCACTACAGCTATCCACATCAAACCCTCCGAAAAGTCAAGCTGGATGTGTTCGGGGATCTCTTCCTCACTCATTTAAAGTAATCGTATGGCAGCTTTCCGAAAAACATCTCAATGATCGGCTTTGGATCTCCGATTTCAAAACGACGGCCTTAGTGAACTGCACGCTTGCAAGTTTCTAACTGATCACTCGGGAGTTTGGATCTCATTCTTTCTGGATGCACATTGATGCCCGCCTTCTCGGACAGCTGTGGCAGTCTTACATGACTCGCAATCTTCTGCGTGATGTTGATGCGGTTCATCTGCTTCAGGACGTCAACTGCTTCATCTTGACTTTGACCACAAGCTTGCATCAATGCACACATTGCATCCTCCTCACCCAAGCCACGTGTTGTTGCCACTGCCACCACAATCTTTGCAGTCAAAGTCCATCCGTCTCTCTCAAGAGAGCGTACTATTCACTGTGCCCGTGCCAGTAGGAATGAGCTCGATCCGGAAGACAATGGGTTGGCCTTCCGGCGCGCTGACCTGCATGGGAGTGGACATGTGTCATGTGCTGCCAGCATGAAGCCCTGACATTGAAGCTTCAAAAATACCGCTGCAGTGTGCTTGACTTCATGTCGCCCCACTTGGCAAAACACAGGTAGTGAAAGCACCTAGCAAAATATGCTTTCATTTCCTGAGATGAGCAGCAAACCCAACCTTGCAAACATCCATGGTAGCACCCTTCGCACACAGCACCGCTTCTCTTAGCTTGAAATGGGAGAACTATGGTGCAAGTGGCTGACCAAGGCAGCCAAATGGACACTAAGTAGCAGGAAGTTCCATATGAACAAAACTAAGGTTGCCTGATTGAGAACATGTCCCTCGAATTTCCTACGCGAAATCAATTCCCTATGCGATGCGCTGGCCAAAGTAAAACACGCAAACACTAGATATCGTTCAACTTGACATGATGGGACTTCTATCATCTGCAGAATATGAATACTCCCACTCTTTTGTGTTGCAAAAGACCCAGATCGATACAAGCGAATGATGAATGTTCTTGGAGGAGACCAAGGACCAATACTGCGAAACCATGATGACCAAGGACCCAAAGGCCAGCAATGTGAGCCCTGCCTTGGCTTTCGGATTCCGTAAAGCCAAAAAGGCGAGAACAAGCCTGACCCAGCCTGATCTCGGCTGGTCTGGATCTCGGCTTTGCTGCCCGCTCTCTGCTTCTGCGGCAAATGGAAAATCAGACCCTCGTCTAAGTCCACGGAGCACAGAGATTAGAAATGTGGCCAGTGTTTGAACTGAACCTACAAGTCCCTGAAGTTGCATCTAGACTCTAGACATCTTGATTAAAGGCAAGCCCTGTTCCAGTCAGGACACCCTCACATGCTGGAACAGGCCAAGGACTTTCACTTCATTGAAGTCCATCAGAGCCCCTGACGAAAAAGTCATAGCTGTTGTTTGCAACATCTTGGATTCCATCGCCACATGTCCCGAGTGCCTGTTTCTCCCTCAGGCCTCACATTCATGCAACGCCCATGAAATCCTCTGCGCTATAGCAGCTATAGCACGTTCATCCTTTTGTGCAAACTACGCAACGTGAAATGGGTGACTGTGCAATCCTACAAAAGTAGTCAAGTGGAACTTGCTACACCGCTATGCAGCTCCTTTAACTATATTTAGCTTTGCTTTTTCAAGTCACGCAAGCGCGGCTGTTTGTTTGTAATAGTAATCTTTGCCAAAGCAACTCGTAGTCATCGTCCACATCGAAGTCTGGAAGCCGACCTCGGCTGCTTTGGAGCATGAAAATTCCGCATGGCTCTGGTGAGCCCAAAACTCCTTTGAAGAAGAACTCTTTCACAAACAAACCTAAACCTTGTCGTCCCTCAGATCCAGAATCACTGATTTTGGATCGAAGCCATTTCTGTGACTTGGCGTTGCCCCAGGTGACTGCTGCTTGCCATTGCGAATTGTCACTAAATAGTGTTGTTAGTGGGGTGGGGTGTTCTTGCTATCCTTATGTGTGGCATGTATGGCTTGACCTACGTTCTGCGAGTGGGGCTCAAAATGGATGTCCTCATCATGTCTTGGATTTGAGTTTTGCTGGTTGAATGGCGGTTTGTCGCTGTTGTTTGGTGCTGTTGTTTTGATCTTCCTTGGTCACCGCAGTTGGAGCCGCGGCGTGCTGCGTCTTGTCTGAAATGCTGAATGAACCTTGGTCTTGTCATCGTGGCGTCATCCCTGTAGCATTGCTGTGGTCATTCCTGCAACTCTTTTGCCTATGCCTTGCTCAGGAGTGCACTCAGTGAAAACTCTGTGAAAAAACTCCCTCTTGGCTCCCTGACCATGCACCACCAAAGCGTAGCAGCCTCAGCAACCATCAACTGTTGGAACAGGTGGTAGGTGGGCTTGAATTGGACTCAGACTAGAACTAGAAAACATGCATAAATCGCTCACAGAGCGCTTCTTGCAAAAGTGATCCGACAAACAGTTGGCTTCGAACAAAAAAAGGGCAAACAACATGACTTCCAACGCAACTGTGCCCAAGTTTCTGAACAAGAACTCGAAATCGCCACTCCCCACCTGGCATGCGCTTTTCCAGGCCGTTGAAGCGCGATGCGAAAGCTCCAGGACTCAGCTCAACAGGATCTCAGCTCACTTTTGGAGATTGATAGGGAATTTGAGCTGAAAATCAATAAGAAACTGATATGTCAGGAGATTGATTCTGCACACGGAAAAAAAACGCATAGACCTCAATTTGAGTGTTGCTGGGGAAATGATTGCCTTTGGTTGGTTTCATTCCAAAGCTGGAAGTTTCCACATCCGTCTCACCTCAGCCGGCCACTTCACCATGGAAAAGAAACCTGAATAGCTGGAGGAAGTACAGGCATAAACGCGATTCTCATTCTCCTGCCACCAGCGGAGGGTCGACACTTCCACTCGACACTTCCGCATGTTTTGCGAGGCGAGCGAACAGACCCTACATAGATACATGGCTATCCAAATGTAATGTGCTGTAGGCTGTAATGTGTAACGCTGTGGGCATGGACAACTTTCACGTCAATGAAGGAGCATGCGACATATTACCAGTCGAGAACTTGAAAACCCGCTGTGCCTGCATCTGCAAATCTCGGCAGTTTGGACATCCGAGCTCAAAGAATTGACCCTGACAAAACAGCCATTCGCAACCACAAGTTCTGTACATCTCTCAAAATCCTTTTCTGTACCAAGTTCCAGTCCACCCATGGACAACAAACCGTGGGTGGAAAACTCTTTGCACCTTGGTCATGATCAGTCGACACCTGGCGGCGAAACGAGGCCATGGCCTGCCTCTGTGGATGAAGGAATTGGAAGAATGTTCACGTTACTTTACATCAAACACAGGTCGGATTGAGACTGACAGCAGTTCAGTTTGTACGTTTTGAAATCTCTTCTGTTGAGCATGTCGAATTGTTGTATCTATCTCCAGGAAACTACTTTTCACAGTGATCTTTCTTCAAAACAAAGGTACTGCAGCAAACACCGAAGACCTCCATCAATCAATTATCTTTCATCCTAAGGCTTAAGTTGTCCACATTAAAGGCCCGTCCTCATGCAGGCGCGTAGATTTTTGACCTCTTTGGGAAGTTGAGACCTTACTGCGCGGATATATTCCCTCGTCAATGGCACCAAGACGTCCAAACGGATCATTTTTTTGTTTGATATAAAAACAATGTGTTCAAAACGTCTGATGAAACATGCATGGACCTGAAAATACATTTTGGTAGGTAGGTCGACAATGAATTAAATAAACAAAACATGTAGAAAGTTGACAATCAACATACAGGACACCGATCTTTTCTATAAATCATCCAAGGATTCGCTGAAAACCAGTTGACTGATCTCGTCTTCCTCTCACACGATGAGCCAAGCACTTGATTTGCTGCATTCCCCTGCGCATCGCGGCCACTGTGTTCATGTGTTGTTTATCAATTGATGACTTCCACTGCAGACACACTCGTGTCAAGAAATTAACCAAACCAATTCCAACAAACGTTCCACCCAACCAAAAAAAAACAAAAAAAACACTTGTACAAAGGTGCACAAATGAAGAAGCATTGAGTACGGCACACATGATCGAACTGCTCCAGTATGGCAGGCGCTCGCTGCAGCTGCATTTTGCGAGTGACGTGCCCAATCAGGGCAAAACAAAAATGGTGTGGTTTTTCTTTTAAGAACTGACTGGTGTTTTGCCGGACCCAAACATGACAAAACGCGGGATTCCCCTTCTGTTGATCAATGCCAACCATCGATCAAAGGTTGTCGAGAACATTGCAGCCGTCTAAAAAGATCCTGGCGTTTTACAATGTCTCTTAAGCCATGCACTGGTGTCAACATGGCGTGCATGAAGTGTGTTCGTTTGCTGCTGTAACTGTCCTTTTTTGGTTGGCACCCTTTAACTGCGTTTTCGAATCATTAAATGCGGAGCACTTGAAACACAAAAGAAATGAGGGTCGGAAAGTTGCAAACACGAAACATTAAAAATGCATTTCCTTGAGTCACCCTGCAATCCAGCTTGTTTGTTTGATGGAATTTTGGTTTGAACCAGTCAAGCAGCCATACGTTTGGGATGCGTTTCTTACGAGGACCTGTGTGCCGATTGAAACTTAAAATCGTCCATGTACGTTTGGTGTCTAACCCAAAGAAGCTCCCTTTTTGCACGGGGGTTGTCACGGTTTGCTTTCCCCCGTTTGCTCCTTCGGGGTGATGTCAATGCCAACCACTCCCGCCCTTTGCTTGAAATGAAAAAATACGGTATACAAATTCATGAGACACCCGGAAAACATAGTTTCCTGAAACTTACAAAGCCAACACGATCACCGTTGGTGAGCTTTGTCGTCCATGTACGTTTGGTGTCTCATCCAAAGAAGCTCAGTCGCGCCTTTTTGCACGGGGGTTGTCACGGTTTGCTTTCCCCATTTCTGATCCGTGGCAATCAACGTTTTGTTTCTGTCAAACACAGAGGCGATCCTTTTCTCACCTCTTGGCTTGCAAAAAGCCGCTGCGGTATTGGGCTCGTCGTGTGTACATGAAACAGGTCATGAGTGTCTACACGTAAGTCTGACACCCTGCCTTTTGTAGAGACGGGCGAGTCTCTGCAAACACTGTAGGACTTACTGCGAGTTCAGCTCTCAAACAGGCCCACAAATTCAACTGGCTCCATTGCGCTCAGTTCTTCTTCTCCCGGTTGTTGATTCCATCTGATCGAGGTGAGGATCTTCTTGTTCCTCTTCTCCATCATTCAAATGGATCACTGCCTGCTGTTCTCTGTCAGCTTGTCGTGAATCATTGCCTCTCGTGTCGCCAGTCTCGATGACATTGATGTCGTCCACGTCCACATACTCCATGGTCACGTCGTTGTCGACTGCATCTGCTTCAGGTGGTAGATATCGAAGTAGTGCATTGTTGTCATCTTGGTTGCCAAGCTCTCTTCTTTCTCCTGAGGTGTGTTGTCTGATGAATTCCTGTATTGCTGCTTCAGCTTCTTCTTCATCTGGATGTTCTGCTGCTGCTGCATCAGCTCCACGCTGGATTGCTTCTCGTTCAAGTCTCTGCAAACTCTTGGCGAACAAAATGCTTCGCCTGTAGCCTTCTGGTGTCTGGCAATCTTCAATTGCTGCTGTCATTCATTTCTCAAAGTAAAGAGTCGTCCCATCATCTCTCCATTGAGTACTCTGCCTCGTCGATTCATTGCTTCATCCAGAATCGTGTTGATGAAGTGGGAAAGTTCTCGCGCTGCAATCATCAAGTGCGTTTCCACTCCTTCTCCTATCAGCAGTAGTTGCCCTCTGTACCAGCTGAAAACTTCTGGTCTCGAAGGAACAATTCTCTCCAGTTCCTCGTTGTTCGTCTCTTCTGATCCATCCGCTAGGATGTGTCCCAGCCTTTGTGAAGAATGCTCCAGCATCTGCCAGTGCATGTTCTGGATGTCCACCATGTGGTTTCTTCTTGCTTGCTCTCTTTCTGCAATGCGATCTCCTTCTTGCTCCCAGTCATGGTCTGCTTGTTCACTGCTTGACCATGTCAACTCTTCTGGTCCACTGTCATGATCTTCTCCTCCGTCTCCATGACGTCCTCGTCCGAGATCAGGGGGATCTGGTAGTCGTCGTTGAACTCGTCGAACTTCTCCTCCAGGATGTGGTCGATCTTCTCCGTGATGTGGTCGATCTTCTCCGGGATGTGGTTGATCTCCTCCGGGATGTGGTCGTTCTCCTTCATGATGTAGTTTATTTTCTTCTCTATTAGGATTTGCTGCTCCATGTGATGCCTCATGGTGTACTCGGCGTCGAGGTCCTCCATCTCCTTCTTCTGTGTCACCATGTCCTTCTCCCTGACTCTGACCAGTCTGTGTGAAAGCGTCGAATCTTGTACCTGTACCTGGCTGCATCAAGGTGTCCTCTGGGCTAGGCTCTTCTGGTTCTTCAGGAACTGCTTCTTCTCGCTGTTGCTGCTCTTGGATCGTGGCCTCATAGGTTCTCTCTCCACTGTTTCCTCTGAATGGTAGTGGAAAGATCTGTGCTAGGCCTCCTTCATACCTCATTGGGTTCACATTGGCCCAAATGCCTTGTAGATCCACAAATTGTTCACCTAGTTCTGCAAGTAGTCCAGGCGCTCTTGGTGGTCGTATTCCAAGTCGTGTTGCTTCTCCAGGCGTCATTCTCTGCCTTGTTCTGCGGGGTCTGCCTTCTGTCAATCCTGAAACAAAAGGTCCACTCTCTTGTGACGTTGAAGTCGATGAAGAGCTGCTATCTCTGTATTCGCGAAGTCGTCGGGATAGTTCTCGATATAGTTCCTCAGTGAACTGTAGTCGATGTCGCTGTACCCGTAGTGCGTTCGTCAGATAAAGGATCACAAGCGTCAGTGCTAGGATCACCAAGTTTCTGATCGTGATGATGTCGTTCACTGTCATCTCACCTGATTGCAATGTCAGGTCTGTGCATCCCTGCAAGAAACATGTGCTTCCAGCAAAAATCACTCTCAAGATCTTCTGAGTAGTCTTCTGGGTCACTTCTCTTGGGATGGTCTCGATGGTCTCAATCTCTACACCGTTTTGATTTCCCATTGGAATGAGGCTCATCAATTTCTTGCGTCTCTCTTGCGCTAGCTTCTTTGTGTTCAAGTCTGCTGGATTGATTGCTGTGGGAACTCTCAGCAATCTCACAATCTTTTCTCTCACAAGATCTTGGATCCAAAGGTTGCGGATGTGAATGTGCTTCAGTTTACCCTGTCCAGCTCGTTGCATGATTCCTCGGGCTGCTGAACTGTCACTGAAAGCAGTCATCTGAACTTCGTTGGCTCCTACTAGAAACTTTAGTAGGCTTCCAACATGTAGCATCTCTGCAATGCCACTGCAACTTGCGTAAAGCTCTGATTCTGCCCTGGAAAGTGCTATTGAGGATTGTAGCTTGCATGAGCTAACAAGTGCTGCCGTTCAGAAAAACCATGTATGATGTTGTTGACTTTTGTGCTTACTTTGCATCCTGCCCAATTGGCATCCGTGAAGACTTCGAGGTTGTAGTTCTTTCTGTCTTCTCTGTTGCTCCATTCAGGAAAATCCCAATGGTCACTTGTCACTCCAAATCGTTTGAGTTGCGTCAACAAAACTCCTGAATCTTGTGTTCCTTGAAGATAGCTTCCAAGGTGTCTCAAAGCTGTGTATGCCAACTTCGTTCCTCCAGCCATGTAGGTCGACAAAGTTTTCAAAGATTGTTGGATGTCTGGTCGATCTTGTGCTATGTAGAGTGCCAACCCCAAACCAGATCGGAACATGCGTTGGTCCTCCGCATTGAGTCGTTCATGCTCCTTGATGTTGTCCTTGTCGTACACCTCGAGGTTGCTGTGGTGTGGTAGTGTCTTGGTCTTCTTTCCATGTAGCTCAAGTAGCTCTACCATCTTCTTGATGCAGGAAGGGTTTG